CAAACCGACAACTCCTATATCCGTCCCATCCTAACATATGCCCACCCCACCTGGTTCGCTACATCACACACCAATCGCACCAAATTAACCCACGTGGAAAACTACAACATCCGCCTCATCTTCCGCCCACCCATGTACAACTCCATACGTCATCTAAACAAAATACCCAACATCCTCACACACCTCCACAACTCCGCAATAGCCCAAATCAAAAAATACATCAACAAGCCTCTATTCCGAAACCTAATCCTTCCTCACTACATCCTCAGAAACCCACCACGACACACCCGGAAAAAGCTCCCCTTGGACATCCTCAAACTTCCCCCTCCTATTACCTAAGCCAGAGGGCATTAACAAACCACGAAATATTTAACCGACTGACAACGAACCGACAGAATGACAGACGCGCTGTACATGTCGTCCAAAAAATACAACTCCGCCGCCTCCTTTAACGAAACCCTTGCCAATCTCTTCCCCTCCCCATCCCATCCCAGTCCTCCCCCTCCCACCCCCCATCATCCAAAACCTTAATGAAATAACCCTTCTCTCCACAGAAAAGTAACCCTTCCACAAACAACCCAGACTCCGGATCCCCGTCTTTTACGGGGGAGAGGAGTCAAAAACCCGCGAAAAACCCACCGTTCGAAGAGACCCCGCAAGGGGTCCGGCGAACGTGACTTTTACAGTAAGTGAGACGCTGAGACTAGAAAAGTTGGGAAATCGAGAAGAAGTGCAAGACATTGCTTTACTGGAAACAGCCCTAATTTTGCCCAAAGTATTGCAGAGGCACCTACAGTCTCCAAATCTGCTCCTTATAAGCTGGTTGATAATACATTTTATAATCAATCAACTCATAATATGTTTAGTTTTCTATTAGAAGAACAACAACAACAACAACAATAATAATAATAATAATAATAATAATAATAATAATAATAATAATAATAAACTCAGCTACATGATGTATTGACAGTTATTAACAGATTAGATTTAGATTAGATTATACGTATTCAGTCAAAAAACATTAAAAAACTGTATGTGATGTAGGGGGAAAAGATTATCTGCGCACGTTTGCTTGAGTTCCAGAAACCCTTCCCGTCATTTTAACTATAAATAGTTGAAACATGAGTAAATGTTTAACATAAATAAATAAAAAAAAAACAAATTTTAAAAATCACACGATTAGCAATATTTGAAAAATAGTCATTTTCGTATCTGAGTTATAGAAAACTTATTTGCATCGGTACACGAATTGCAAGTATGATTTTTCTGCATTGCTAAAAAAATAGCAACTTGCCCTTACCTCTACACTTACCATTACAAGCTAAAGTTCAACAAAGCATGCGCATAGTGAAGCTATGTCCAGAATCAAAACAAGGGGCTATCGCAGCATTTGCTCCATACATGGACAGGACAAAAACCTGATCGAGATGAGGGGGGTCATTGACCCGGAAGCTGAAGTACATTCTTTGTTACAAACATATTAAGTCTTTTAAACAAATATACAATACAAATGTAAACTAATTCATAATGTATCACTGTTTGGTTAAAATAAACATTTTTTTCTTTAAGATAATCAATATAGTCTCTAATTGTATAGAAACAGTTATGCAGCAGAAACGATTTTACTTTTAACTTAAATTTTTGAACCGACTTTAACTGTTTTTTGTCATCTAGCAGTGCGTTGTAAAGTAGCGTACATGTATTGTATGCAGATTTCTGATAGTGAGCTGTTGATACTAACACTAGATGAACGTGATTTTTACGATGTGTGTTGTAATTATAAATATCAGTACTGCATGAAAATATGTTCCCACCGTTAAGTAAGTCACTTTTGACAAATATTACCGATTCGTAAATATATAGGCAAGGCAGTGGTAAAATTCCAAGTCCAAGAGGCTAGCAAGGGTAACGTGGATGGCATTTTTTCTTTATTCGAATAATTTTCTTTTGCAATCTAAAGGTCTGAGTATTACATGATGAGTTTCCCCCAAATTTTATACCATATCTCAGGCGGGAATATACATTTGTGAAATACACGCAACGAGCAGCATGAACGACAGAATTTGATAGAATTCTGAATGCGTAACATAATGAACTTAATTTAGCATTTAATCTTGTTAAATGTACATTCCATTTGAGGTTTGACTGAATTGACAGACCTAGAATTTTGTTACCTGAACATCACCTAACTGCATATTATTCATTTTCAATAGAGCATGAGATTGCTGATTTGAAAGGCAAAAATGCTTTAAAACTGTTTTTCCTTCATTAACTATTGTTTCTTTTTTGCAAAGCACATTCGTGTCATCAGCAAACAGAACCGTTCTGCTGTTTTTAATAGACAACAGCATATCATTTACGTATAACACTTCTCTTCCTTTATTAATTATTATTACTCTTCTTTAGAGAATAACTTTTCTGCACTTCAAGGTGGCAAAATCGTGAATTGTGTCTTCAAAATCAATTTCTGTCAAAATGTCATGTTCAATACACATCAAACTTACATTATTTAATCGTGGTTGTACCATGTAATTTCGTAACACATCTTTTGTTATCTTTAACTTAAAAATTGAACGTTCTCCAGATGTATTCAAATAAATTACAAATCACAAAAAAAGTAAATAAAATTCCCATAGCAATTTCCATGTTTGGGATTGCTGATGAAATATTCTTATTATTCATGTATCAGTACAAGTTTTCAATAGCGACATTTTTTCATCTCCAGCATATTTTAGGAAATATTTTATATTTGCTTTTACTGTAGATGTGCAGCAAATTGTTGACATTTAGATATTAAATCTGCAAAAATCAAGTCTGCTACAGAATTTACTAGGTTTTCACAATATTTTGAAATTTCTGATTTCTCTAGACTAGAAATCATTGTCTATTATTTGAAGGAATGTCTCTACTCTGAACTTTTCTCTTCCTCATTACTCATTACTACATCCACTTGCAAATGCAAGAAAGGAGCTACATTTTATTTGACACCTTTTGTATCATGATATTCATTCACAACTAATTTTGCTTTTGCATAGTCGTTAAAATAATCTCTCTTTTCTCTAATTATTCCTCCCTATTATGACTTCAGCATCTTAAATGCTACAGACAAATTTACTTTACCACTTCACAGTGGTTAACTTTGTGCGTTAAATCTACTGAGCATTTCATTCCACAATATTGTTTAAAAAAAACTATTTCAAGTTTATAATATTTTTTCATGAATCCTTGACGTGTCTCTGACGACTGATTTGTCACATCATTTGTTATAGACTGAAGACAATCTCATTTCATTATATCTTTCATATAAAGTATTTACTGCATCTGCCTGCGAAGACTTCCAGTATCTGAAAGTTGTTTCACCACTTTATGATAAGGACCTAAATAAGAATAAAGTATCTCCCAGCCGTGTGTTGGTGATGAAGGTGTAAAGATTTTGTACCAAATCAAAGTGAATTGTCACAGCTAAAACACTTGACAGCATGTACCCCTACTAAAATGAGTGAGTGTCCAGCACATGACACACACTCAGCATACTTATTGTTTTATCTTCGCTTGTAACCCTGAACATTGCCCTGACATGATTGCTTCGTTGTCATAAGACTGTATCCTACAATTCAGGATATGTATGTTATTGGTTTTTAAGAAGTGTGTCACAACTCCAGAAGATGTTCTGCATATGACCACAAATGGGAATAAACTGCAATAAATGCTCTTTTGGAACAGTGTCTATCACACATCTTACTATAAAAGTAAGTTCATCAATATGAGTCACATCCAGAGAGGAATCTACAGAAACAGCATAGTATTTTGCATTTTGAACTTCCGAAATGATTATTCAAAGAACTTTGGTCCCCATTTTTTCAACGAACCCTACATGATGGGGGCCTGACAAGTACGATAACACCCTTCTCTGAAGTACCATATTTTTCCATGTGTGCGTGTAAGAATGGGTCAAACTGCCTTATAAGTTCCAAAATACCCAATTAATTTACATTTTTCACTGAACCAACTCTTTTAGTCAGAACCTCTTAAAGGGAGTTCTCTCGATACTAACTTTAATTACTGCAATAACTCTTTTCAACACCTCTTTCCAGTATTGTCACTTATTATTATATTGGGTGATCCCAGAATGTTTTTGATAGACTTCAATAAGCTACCATACAATTTCTATCTTCTTGACTATTTTCATGTTTCAATGCACTTTTCTGAGCATGTTTCAAGTCATTAAATCCATCTCCACTAATGGAAATTTGGAGTGAGAAAATAATTTGCACGCAAAACAACCTTTTCTCTTAGCAGGTGACTTGACTCATTATCTCTGTACAAATTCTTTGCTTGGTAATTGTCGCGAGAACATTGCTTGAGTAAATCATCAGTCTTCCATACCTCCAGTTTTATGTATACGCGCCAATCTATCAAATTTATTTTCTTTTATCATGTACAGAATTATCCCTTTTGTTGCCAGTATAATTGCAATAATTAATGAGTTTCAGGATTCTCTTCATATTCGCATATTCATATCTCAACTTATTCACTTGCCCTGCCCTGAGGTGCTCTCTGCCCAGAACTCACACAACACCACACAACATGCTATTGTACATTTACAAACTTATACAAATAAATATTCATTCATTATCATTCATAGAGCTTCATCCAAATCGTCAGACTATAAAGTGAATTACCAATAAATCGCACTGATGTCGTAACATATTTGGCGCCAACTATTTTTAGAAAACAATATTTTTCTTTTATTCACAGAATTCCCATTAAAAAGTAATAATGTCAGGAAAATGCATCAAAATATCAAACAAATCTGAAATTCCTTCTAGGATTATTTTAATGCATTAATAATTAAATATTCATAACAAGACAAATCTTCATATTTGTTGAGAACTGTAAAGGTTTAATGAAAGAAAAAAGTTAACGAGATTAACATTATATCATAAAACTAGAAACAGCAAATGTTTCTTACAAATCGCTTATGGTTGAAAACTCACCTATCCAAACCTGTGTCTAATTTGAGTTCAATCTGCTCCAAAATGTACTTCTTTTTCTGCAGACAGTCTCCATGTTTAGGGGTGGATCTACAAAAAAAAATATTCTAAATAATTATGGAAATACGTGTAACAACTAGGTGCTACAACAGTACATACTTTCTCGCCCCCTTGGTAACGGTTATGTAATAATATTATATCGCATTTCCATCCATATCAACATCTCAGTCAATGAGTGCTGACAACAAAGCGTGTGTGCAGCGATCGACGCAGCCAGTCACATATTTTTCGGCCAATTCTTTCTAAAAACGCCATTTTTTGATAAATATATATTTTTTTAAAGTTTGGATTGTTGTGCTTTTATGAAGGTGTTCATTATGGAACACTATTGCTTGTTTCGAATACATACAATTATTTCAACGTTTCATCCTTGCTACCAAGTTCTTTAGTTTTTTGGGGGGGGAAATGAAATAATAAATGAAAACTATTATAAACATATTTCAGGCTGATATTTTTAACTATTATTGAATTAATTATTGTAACTATATTATGTGGCTCAAACCAATAAATCATTTACAAAGTAACATTGATTGAAGAAGAAAATGCCTGAATACCTGAATGTGTTGCAAATGGACACTATTCTTATTTTATATGTTCTAGGTATTATTTTTATTTGCTCTGGGTATTTTTGTATGACTATCGTAAGCATCAATGGATCCAATTTATAGTGTAAAGTGTGGCCACACTCCATGTTAAGCAAATATTTGTACTCATATTTATGCAATTATTGTCTGTCACTGAATATTTAATTTTCACATGCTGATTTATTTATTACTCTTAAATAAAGAGCTTTTTATGTGCTCTTGCTACTCACAAATATTCAGTGACTAATATCAGCTTGGTATTTACTGTGAATTTGGGCTATAAAGCTCTTTATGTATTTGTTTTCAATTAAATATGAATTTACATATGTACATGTTTATAATGACTATAGTTCCTCAACTCACTACTAGAGTTGCGATGTCACACTCACCACAATCGATAATGTCAGTTGTTTACGAGAGCTGCCACTTTCAGGCATTGGCTGCGCTCGCATGTCTTTGTAACCATTTTTTGTATGTAACAGAGCTCCGAGCTCACTTCAGTTCCTATTGCCAATTGTGTTATCGCTATGTATCTACTGCCATTTCTATTCTCATTATGTAGCTATGCCATGCCACTATGTTCTTTTGTTATCGCCACTATGTAACTTTGCTATTTGCCACTAATACTGTCTCTATGTTACTTGCATAACTTGGCTTGCCGCCAACCTGTTTACTTATTTTTATTATTTGTCTAAATTACTATTTAAAATTGGCCCGGTTTTCATGACCGTAACGTATTTATTGTATTCTGGTTTTTCAATGTGATCTCTCTCTCGCCCACTTTTTGGGTTACGTTTTATGGTATAAATATGGCATTGAATGATTGAATTGTTTAAGTTGCATTGCTATTGTAAGTTTTTATAATTGGTCTTTGAGCAGCCTTGTCAAATGTTTATGCACTAGTCCAGAATCTCTTTTCTGGCATTAATGTTATGTATTTTTTTCAGAATTTCTTTTCTGGTAAACTATTTACAGATTATTGAGCTGAAAGTGAGGGCCCGTCTTGACATCCCCAGTGGTCCATTTGACACACCTCTGCACATTTGGCTCCGTGATAGCACTACGTTCACATCTGTCGAGTCTTTACTAGACAAGCGCTGCAATAAGGACAGGTTAAGCAACACTCATTCAATGCCATAGCTTACGTTGTTACTATACTAAGAGAGATAGGGAGAGGGGAATGAGGAGAGAGAGAGATAGAGGGGGGGGCGGGAGAAGGGAGAGAGAGAGAGGGGGGAGAGGGAGAAGGGAGAGAGAGAGGGAAAGGGGAGAGAGGGAGAAGAGAGGGAGAGGGGAGAGAGAGGGAGAAGGGAGAGAGAGAGAGGGAGAGGGGAGAGGATAGAGGGGAGAGAGGAGAGAGAGAGAGAAAGAGTGAGTATACCGCTGATTCTGTTTAACATTCTATTATGTTTAATTATAATAAGAAAGCGACTTAAAGGTGGTTTTGTCATTTTTTGTTCGTAGTAATTCTCTGTTTGTAACCATTTCTAAATTGGAATTAAATTCGGTTCGAAGTCAGGAGACAGTAATTCTGTATCATGGCTTCTACATATGTGCTTGCAGAAGACTTATTTATTTTATTTATTTATTTTAAAGGGTAAAGGATCAATGTTTTACTTTTGTCTATGTTTTGTTTTGATTAATTATTGCATTATGTCAGGATCAAGCCCGACATTCTGCATAATTACAATTTTGGGCGTAGATCCACTGTTTGTACTCAGGTGAACTATGTGTTCACAACATTATTGATTCTGATCTGTTTTTTCACTATTGAAATTTATGCTGAGCTAATAAATGTTATTTGTTATTTGGAAGTTTGAAATCTAATTTTTCCCACCGTAGGAATCCTACCCATTTACTTAGCATACCCTTGATACGATTCCCGCAATGCTGTTTCCCACAGCTACTATTCTTTGGTGGCGAAGGCGCGATCTCTTGAGAAGTTTGATGTTACTTCGTAAATTCCAATAGACGCGCACTTTGATTTAAATTAGTATTGCCACTTCTCGGGGCTGGCGACCGTGTATTCTTTAATTTTTCTCCTCAAATTTAAATACTCACTGGCCGCTTTGGTTTTTAACATCTAAAGTGGCGACCGTGCCTGACTCGATCCTGCAATCTTTGAAATTTAACATTGCCTCCTGTATGAAGGAACGTTGAAAGCCATTATGCCGTCTGCAAAATGTCATCGTTATGTACTTGAACATCAATACACTGAGATTAAATTGTACAATGAAGTAAAGTAAAAGTGCGAGAAAGCGGAAAGAGAATATTGGCATTTTCAATAGAAAATTATAAAATTAAATTATTTATTCATATCATTCATTCAGTTTTTCTCGTAGCCCGTAGTTCGTGTGAAACCTGAGTGTGTGTGTATGAACATACACCCTTCCCGCACGCACACGCGCGCGATTAATTTGAAGCAAAAACTATTCGTTATTTCAAAGACTTGTACATGACCTTTTTTAAAAAAAACTAATTTTGTACAACAGATTTTGTCTGAAGCAAAAATATCTATCTTTAATTTTGTAGTTCGGAATGATTTTTTTTCCATTTTCGAAAACACGAGCAAATTTCGAAAATGAGACTAGCGCTATATTTCTTACCGTTCCTTATTACATATGGGGGAAAAAATTTTAAAGAAAAAATTGGGAGTGGCTTTTGAGAATTTTTGGGGGAAATTTCAATTACAAATTACGCAAAATACCTTTCTTCAAAAAATTGTACATTACCTTTTTTGAAGAGCTAATTTTGTACAAGAGTCAGGACTTTGAGACAAACATCTTTATTTCCAATTTTGAACTTAAATATTTTTTCAGTTTTTAAAAAATCGGTGATGACAACGAAAATGAGACCTGCACCATTCTCTTAAACCTTCTTTGCACTATTCAATAACAAAATTTAATTAAAAAAATTTGGGGCCATTTTTTTAACATTTTAAATATGTCCCAGGGTCTTTGTTATGTACCCCCCAAAATTAACATTTCGGTTTCAAATTCCAGGGTATGCGACATCAGCTACAACGATTGGGGATAATATCACTTTTCATGAAAATCGACTGAACGGTTTATGCGTTAGCGTTGAGCACAGACGAGCAATCATTTTGCTGTCAATTGATCTTTCGGTATCAAGGACCCATAAAGCATAGATCCTGGCTATGTGGAAATTAGATAAATATTTGAGTTTTCTGCAGGAGATAACAGCTACTAAAGCGATGTACAAATTAACAAGAAATGAAGGTTTATATGCGAAACTATCGAATATAAGTCACGAAAAGAAACTATTTACACTTTTTAACTTTAAACTGAGTTTTTATTATCATTAAATTGAACACTTATTTATCATTTGCCTTCTTCACAAAGAATCGTCAGTGCCAAACCACTCTGTAATAATACATTACAATTGATAGCATTACTGGAGAATTTGCCTGTTTACTTTTTGCTACCACGAGGAATGTCCTTCCATGTTATTATAAAAAGGTAAAGTTTGTACAAAAGCTACACACAGTATTCAAAAGTATCTTAGCAAGAGGAATAAACCTAAACCACAAACCCTTAATAATTCAACAAACAGATGTACCTGCCGCGTAAGTGGGCGGAACAAAACTACTTGACTTTCTCCGCAGGCAATCTGTTGAACCCGCCGCAAACACAAATGCACTAAACGTTTCACACCACCAAAACAAATTACATTTGGCACACAAAAAATGACATGGGCGCCTAAGGCAACTTATTTAGAAGTCACCTTCGATCGAAGGGTGCGCTGGCATTTACATGTCAGGTGAATTCGATCAAAACTAAAGCAAAGAGTTCGACTCTTTCAACCTATTTGAGGGTACCCTCTCTCCCCTTCGAACTTCGCTTGGCACTCTATAAAACGTGTTGCCAGCTGTGACCACCTACGCTGCAGCAACGTGGTGGATTACAGGCCGAATTCATAGTCGTCTCTTACACTGAGTGTTCCCTTAAGGTAGTTAGAGCGAGATAAGTGTTAAGTTTAACATGCCTTTTTTATTGTATTAATAGAAAGATGATAGGTTCATCTATGTTCTGGTAGAATTTGAATCGATTTCACTGTCCAGTTTTTGCGAAACGAGACCGTAAAGTTTGCTGTTTTAACATGGGCTCTTATGGAGACCTGAGGGATCTGACCTGAAATTTTAAAATTGTGAGAAAATTAACTGTTGAACATGCTTTTAAAAACTTTTCTTTTGATAGCTAGCATTTCGAAAAATCAACATGCGCAATTTGAAGGAAATCTACCGTTTCAAATGGGAGAATTTTGCAAAATTATAAGCCTAAATCTGTCCAAAGGGAGACGTTCGCACGCTTTCTAGAGGGTCGGGACAGTGACGCGCATCTCGGCAACACCGCGCGCTCAACGCGCTTTATTCAAATCGAGTGACAAGACCTTGCAAGAGTTCGTACATTCCTCTGGATCTTCTGG